GAGGGCATTGCTAGAATAAGTGTGAGAGAATGTTACAGTTCGTAAGTTGGTCTAGGCCCAAGGGTTTTCTTCAAGTTGGGTGATAGTTTAAGTTTTAGTAGGATAGAGTCTGACAGCTAAGGAGATTAGGCCTTGAGGCACAGTGGAGGTCCAGGTCATAGGGAACCAACCTAGAACATTGGTGTTGGTAGTGATCAAGTCTCTAGAGGCTTAGAAAAGGTATTCATGTTCGATAGGATTGAGCCAGGCCTAAGGGTGGGTGCTGGTGAGTGCTGCGTGAGCACCCAGTCAAACCTAGGTAGGAGCATTAATGATTAAAGTGTAGGCGCATGGTTGAGCCTAGGTGCGAGCACGCTTGAACACAAACCTAAGATAATCAGAGTTGGCAACACTGAGTTGGGCTCAGGTGTGGGCATGCGTACAAAGCTAGGAACGTACAGTGTTAAGCACGGGCTTAAAAATTGCCAGGATAGATCCTCATTTAGATTAGATCAAATATTCTGAGAATATACTATAGCATTATATCCCGTAGAATCAAAGACTGTATCATATCTCCTAGAATCCTAGGATTTAAATTATTGTAATCCCTAGAGTTTAGGCGTGTATCTTGGCACTAATTGTAAAGGAGACTTATCTATAAATAAAAAGCCCCCCACCCTTATATAAAGGGACAAAAACCAAAACCATTTAATAATAACATCCTTACTCTTGCCTTAAACTTTTTATTGTTCTTTTGTTAGCTTTTCTTCAAGCATTTGTTATGCCCTTTTGATCTATAGTGTACTAGGCGACAAAGCCTCACAGTTTAAAGCATTTATGCACCATTTTTTGTGTTAGGCTAATTTTAGACTCAGAAGAGTCCATCTTTATGTCCTGGAGCTGCGTGAGCTTGAACCTTGAGTCTCAACCTATAACATTTTGTCTTGCTATAATTAACAATGCAGGTTGTAAAAGATTGAAGTTTAATTTAGATGCTTATGCCTGAACAAATTAATCTTGAAATAAGGATTGGCTTTCAACCAAATTACTAATTCTTAAATGTTTTAAATTTCACTCTTTTAAGAAATTTATTTATAAATTAATAGTAATTAAAAAGATGTTACTTTTTTAATATATTTTCAAAGTTAATTTCAAATGAATTTTTTCATATATGAATTATTTTTATTTAATGATATAAATTACCTATAAAGAAATGAGATAAGTTTTCTATATATATATATATATATGTAGATATATACCTTGTTTGCTCTGACTTCGTTAATTATTTTCATTAAAGTCTAAAATAGATTTAGGAAAGAAATCAAGAATTCACAATAGGGTAGTTAAAACTTAAAACATAAAACAAATTCCATTAATGTCTCATTTCTCTTAAGTTTCTTTTTTGTATTTATCTCAATGTATTAACGAAGTTATTTTGTACTAATTATGTTAATTAATGTAACTCAAATTTTGCTTAAAAAGGTAAAGAGCAGTCTCTCTTTAGTTTCTCTATGTATAGGTTATTGTTGGACGCCTGGATGTGCCATCGGAAGGCATAAGATCTTAGCATCAATTCTATAGATTTTGATAATGTGATATTAAACTTTTGCTCCCATTTAGATCAATATTTATTTCCATTAAATTCATGTTAATGATTTGGTGAGATTTTGGATAAATCTAATATTTTTTATGTAAAATTCTTAAATTCTTCAAAATGTAAGAAAATTCACTCCCCCTCTATTTATTCTCTATAACATTAAAAACTCTAATAGTGCATTTGATTTGAAAAAATCCATAAATTTTTCCCCGAAATCTTAATGATAGGTATTTGATTTTCACATTTGGTTCAAGGTAATCTGATTACAGAAAAAATATCATATTATCAACAGTACCCAAAGTTTCAGAATAAAAACCTACCTTTCCCTATAGTATTCTAGAATTCTAAGAAAAAAGTTGTCTTATTTCTAAATTTGACCTAAATAAAAAATAATAAAATAGCCGTTACCTTTTTGAAAAGTATGTTTGGAAGTAATTGGAATTCAGTGGTAGGTTTTTGTACAAAAAAAAATTATATTAAAATTAAGGCATTTGACATGAAGAAATGCTTTAAATAATCATTTTATATTTAAGGCATTTTTTGAAAAAAAAATATTTTAAATAATCTTTTTTATATTTTTATAAATAGATCATTTAATGCATTTCTGAACAAAATATACTTTAAATAATCATTTTATATTTTAGAGTTTAGGATTTAAGATTAATATTTTTATAAATGTATTATTTAAGGCCTTTTTTTGTATAGAAACACCTTAAATAATTCTTTTATATTTTTATAAATGAATTATTTAAAATATTTTTAATAATTATTCTTTAATTTATAAAAGAATTATTTGAGATGTTTCTATACACAAATCACCTTAAATAATTATTTTATAAAAATATTAACTCTAAACCTTAAATCTTAAAATATAAACGAATTATTTAAAGTGTTTTTATACAGAAAAACGTTAATAAAAAGGCCAACGCCTTAAATAATCCTTTTATAAATAAATTAAAGGAACATTTTTAATTTATTTCATGATATAAAAAAAGTGACAAATGCATCAATTAATTTTTTTAACAATTTTTTTTATCAATTTTTGTTATTAAAAAAAGTATCAAAAACTTCAATTGATGATATTTTATAAATAAAAATAGCAATCAAATAAATTTTTTTTTTTACTATTAAAAGCATCATTTGTAATTTGAGTATTTATTATTAATAAACCAAAATAAAAAGTTATCATCATATATATCAAAAAAATTATAATAATTATACAAAAATTAATTTATGTAGATTCTCTCATTCAAACAAGTGAATCTAAATATAAAATACCCTAAAAATAAAAAAAAAATTCAAATATCATATTTTTCTAAAAGTCACATTTTTTCTTAAAATTTAAGATTTTACAAACCAAACCTTTCATAACAAAAAACCAATTTAACTCACAGGAATAAAAAAAAAAATCAAGGCATTAATTTATAGTTTCAAGAGGGGGGAGCAACAGGCCTAAGAAAACCTGATACCCAGCTTGCATATATATATATATATATATATATATATATGCAGCTAAAAAAATAAAAGGACAAAGAATGACGTCAGTGATTTGTTTGAGATCAAATTGAAGGCATTATTATCTACTGATTTCACGTCTTTGAAGTTCCTAATGCTATTTTCGATTCTTTGTTTCAATAAACGGGAAACGTTCCAAAATAGTGCCAGTCAATATGAAGTTGCTAATGTAAATATTTCTGGTAAATGATAAATGTGTTTATTTTATATTACAAAGATTTGTACTCTAAAAGAAAATAGAGAGTAACAACAGCCATGATGCAGGAGCCATGCTCCCAAGTGAAGACTGTTAGTAGTGTTCTTCCAAAAAGTAGATGCAAGCGAAAGTGAGGATTTGAAGCTTGAAGTGATAACTCAAATATATCTCACTTCGATAATCTAAATTATTTTTGAGCTTTGATTCATTTTTGTTTTATATCTATTATTGATAAAAATATTTAAAATATTTTCTAGAATGAAATAGATTTTATAAATTTAATTAATTAAAATATATTTAATATAATGATGATCAAAGTTAAAAAATTTTAATTAAACAAAGTCAAAGCGTATAAAGTAAGTATTATTACCTATGGGCTACGAGAGGCAGTAGCTGTCAAGCTGTAGTTGGATTGATTGAGAAAGTTTTGGGCTGGCCTTCGTACAACAAAAGGATAAACCCTTTTTAAAAACAAGCCCTAGTTTATTCGGTTTGGATCAATGTACTAAAATGAACTAATAAGTTTGTATAATTAGCCTAAAATAATAAAAAAAAGTTCTTGATAAATTTTATCCTTTTATTACACTTAAAAACAAGTTCTTAATTTTTAATTTTTTTTAATTTTTTAATTTATATATAAATAAATTCTTGACATAAATTAATGTTTTGTTTAAGATAATGGTATTTTTGGATATAAATCACAAAAAAGAATTATTTGAGTAAAATAAAAATATAAGAACTTATTTAAAAAAATAAAATATTTTAATAATTAGTTGAATTAGTAAAGATTGAATATTTCTTTGGTAAGGTTGAGGTACAATTCTTACTGCCAACAATGTTTTTTTTATAAGCGTTATGTAAATCTAATATAAATTTTTGTGGAAGTCTGTGTTATACTGTGGAATGAACTAACCTCCTCTCACCTAAATTTTTTGCAGCAAAAAATATTAGAAGTTTTTGTGCATACTTTTCTAAATTTTGATATAATGAAAAAGTAAATACTAAGAAATGAATTTTATTTAATTAATAGCATGTTAACAGAAGAACACAACATACAGCCAGATATAACTATGCAAGTCATTAAAAATTGAATGAAATATCATGATTTCTGACTTTTGTTAAAAAGAAAAAAGGCTTTTATTTCCAGAAACACTATATATCTTACATATTTTCTATGAATATTAGAAGCAGAAATGTATTTTATATCTGAAACTGACTGAAAGTTGTTGAGTTTGAATTTTCCATGAACAGTGGTGGTTCTGCAACACTAGTTTGGCTTAAATTGTAATAGATGGACAAATCACTTTATTTTCGAACCATCCCAAAATTTGTCCAATTCATCAGTCTGCATTAGCTTTACACAACTAAATCTGTCGTACGAATCCCAAATCTAGAAGAGATTTCAGATTGTCATCAGCCTGGTCCAACACTTGGCGCAGCCTTTGTTGGGAAGTGATCTATGGAGTTTACACTCCTCCACATTCCTCTTTTTCACCTGCACAAAAGTTTTGAGTCGTGGAAAAAGCTAGCATTTCATCATTCCTTTTTATGTAACCGTTACACAACGGATAAGATACCCGGTAACAAAATTCAAAAACAAATGAAAAAGATGAAGAGAACAAAAGCAAAAGCCACCCTTTACTCTTTTTTTTTTTTTTCTAGCTTTTTTCAAACGCAACTAACTTAGACTATATAAAAATAGTTATTTGATGTTTTGTGAATTCAGAAACCAACAAGAAATGGGTTCTTGCATTAGCAAATGCAGACCCAAGAAATATTACATTGAAGGCTTTAGTCATGTTCAAGACAAGGTTGTGATCTCATCACAACACGCTCCAAAAACTCCCATTCCTGTCTCAAACAAAATTTCCCCTTTCCCTCTTTCACCTACCATTTCTTCCTCTTCTTCAGTTTCTCCCTTTACTTGCACCACTAGCAGTAGCAACACTACAACTAGTTCATGTTCATCGTTTTCAAGCTCGAAAGATAGGTACGCTTTCTCCAATGAGTTTTTGTGGGCATGTGTTAAGGAGAACCCTCATATAATCCGTATCAATTCAATCAAGGAAGCTTCTCTTGCATCAACCACTACTAAATCTCCTACTCAGAAATTAGACTCCCACATTAAACCAGTCGTGGCACCAGTGATGCAGGCGATCCTGCGAAGGGAGAAAGGGTCAACACCCCGGAAAAGAGGACGGTCGAGCTCACCATCAACATTAACAAGACAAAAGAGCATCCGGAAGGAGTCTGATGGACTTCATTCTGCATATTATTCGCCAAGTAGGAGTTTGAGGTCACCATCTCCAAGCAGGAGATTTAGCGGAGGTAATAACAATCGAGGAATATTGGCGAGTACATCGAAGGAAATTTGCTCATCAAAGCGTATTGTTAGCCAGAAGGTAAGTGCACTCAACTCTGTTTCTCCCTCTCTGAGAAAGGAAAATTTCAGGCCTTCGAGTCCAATGCTCAGCAGCCATCCAAGTCCATTGATCAAGTCTTGTTTGAGAAATCGAGAGACTTTCATTCACCGTATTAGTTCTAAAATCGATGAAAGTGCAGTCCGAGCAGCCCTGTCGTCCCAGCAAGAAAAAGACTCCATTACTATGGAAGACATTGACAATCCACTTATTTCCTTAGATTGTTTCATTTTTCTGTAGAAAATTAGATTGCATGCATACTGAACATTTGTCATGTTCATACATATTATTTTCTTTTCTTTTGAAGTTTGTTCATCGCTATTCTGACTGTTTGTCCTCAATATTCATGACGGATAGATAGGTTTAACAATGATCAACAGGATCAAATATCTAGAATTGATATGCTGATGAAATGGGTGTATTAATTTTCTCAAATTAATTTCTTCTTATATAAGATGGATGAGATATGATTGTTATAAATTTTGGCAACTTGGCAGAATTTGATTGGCTCATCTAGAACAAAATTCCTGCCACTGTGCTCTTGTACTCTCTTTCAATTATGTGCCCCAAACAAAATTCGATTGTAAACAACATCTGTATAAGTGGCATGAAGGGCCACCTTTTTGAATTAAATAGACCACCTGGACTCTAGTCACTCTAAAGGCCTCTCATGCTTACTACAAAATGATGTAGAAAAATAAGATTAATTAAAGTCAAATATTTTATTATATTATAATTTCATGTTTAATTTTAATATTTTTATTTTGTTTAAAAATAATGAAATTAAAATATTTTTTATTTTTAAATTATATGAATTAAGGCCTCTCATGTCTTAATTCTTTCTCAATTGTCTTTTCTCGTTTTTTCTTATTTATTTATTTTTATTTTTTACCATACTTCTTAATTCCTACTTGAAAAATTAGAATTTATTTTTATAGAAATATTATAAATTTAATATTTAAAAATATTTATTTTAATATAAATTTCATAAAAAAATAAATAATTATTTTTTAATGTGATACGTTATATGTACATATTGAATATGCGCATTATATTTTTATTTTATTCAAAATTAATTTGAATATACTAAGAAAGATTCAATTAAATATTATATTTTCATTAAATGTGATCCAAAAATCATTAAAAATAAAATTATGATAATAAATTTCAGTCACATCAAAATATAGTGAAAAATATTGGTATCCACCCATATTAGGATAGCAAATTTGTCCTGTAATCCTATCAAAATCAGATTATGAATCTTCGGTCGTAAGTGGTTTTATTTATTTACTTTTTAAATAAAATCTTGAAATATGGTTAAATGTAGAGAACAAAAACTTGGTGTCATTATTAGACCTATTAATTTAGTTCGAACTTGAAATTTTTGTTGAACTTGTCTGAATTAAAACTCAACCCAATTTGATTGATCATTAAAATTCATCAACCTGAAACTAAAAATAATCCAAACTCAAATCAATTCAAAATTAAAATGATCCAAATCTAATAAAATCCAAAATTAAAATAATCCCGAAAAATTAATCCAAAATAAAATGAGACTAAATTAAATATTATTGAAAATATCAAATTAATATAAATTATATACATGTTATGTTACTTATAAAATTTCTTATAATTTATAATATGATTTAAAATAAAATTTCTTATAATTTATAAGATGATTTAAAATAAAACTTTTTTAATTATTATGGGTATACATATAAATATATCATCTAAAATAAATTATATAATATCTTATAATTATACATGTGTATCAATTATCATGTGATTTAGAATAAAATATATAAAACAACCAATTGTTTTGTGTATATATGTTATGATTATATTATAATTATATTATTAATTTTTAATGATGTAATTTAGAACAAATTATATAATGAGTTACAATTATATTAAAATTCAAAATAATAAGCTATTAAATAATTAGCTATAATTATACTAAAATAATTATTTATATTGCACTTATATTATTAATAAAAATAATAATTGCATACTAAATGTGTATCATAAATAAATGTTTAAAATAATTTTTACATGATTATATTAAATATGTAACTTTGTATTACAATTAAAAGTTTAAAATAATTTTTATATATTTATATTAAATTAAAATAAACATAAAAAATATTAAATGTGTGAAACATGATAAATATTTTCTCATATTAATACATGTATTCGTATAGTATAATTTAATTAAACATTATATCATATATGTATCAAAGCTGTGTCGATATTATTAAATATGGAACATATTTTTAAAAAATTCATGCAATTTTTCGTGTATCAATCTAATATCATGAAATTATATCGTATTTAAATTTATCACGTCCAATAAATTTATATATTTTTCATTATATAAAAATTAACTGTAATTTAAAGCATATAAATTATAATTTTATATTTATTTTTAAAATATTTTTTTATTTTATTATCTTTTAATAAAATTTGACTCAAACTTAATTAAATAATTTACTTAAATTTAATTTAATTTGATTTTAAAAATTAATAAATTAAACCCAATGTAATCTAAATCTAAATAACTCAAGTATTGAATTCAAAATGCTTAAATTAAAATGATCGGAATCTAAATTAATTTGACTCAAAATAATTCTAACTCAAAATAATTCAAAATTAAAATAACCAAATTAAAAATTCATCCAATGCTTTTAAAAAAATTCAAAATAGTTAAAATAAAATTAACCCAATTTAAACCCTACTCGATCCACGCAATTGGTAAGTCTAGACTCACTATATTGGCATTTAAGTTTTAACATTAAATTTGCGGGAATCCAAGAGGGTAGAAAAGGAGTAGCATGTTCAATCAAACTTGGCCAGGCCACTCGGACCATTTTGTACAGGCCAATTAATTGTAATGGTACCCCAATCTTTTATGGTTCATCGTCCTCTTCATTTTTATTGCAGTTCAGGGTGCACCGACACAACATTTACTCTCGCATATAGGTGTTGTTCAGATATGCTGCTGACACATCAAAATACGAATGAGGTACATTGGGACACGAAAAAAAATAAAAAATAAATTAGACATAATTTTAACATGGTTAAGACACGTGTGGACATGATTTATCAACAAAAAACAATAAAAAAAGAGATGGAGTCTACCAATCCCTTTGTAAATCTAGATTTTTCTAATTATTTTTTAAAAATTCTAATTGGGTTAAAAAAAGACTGAGAAGAGATTTTTGGAGAAATTTAAGGTCGATCAACGACGGCCGATGGCGGAGATTGTGGTGGCCGGTGAATGGTAACGGGTAGAAGGCGGTGGTCGTGAACTGTGTTAATAGACAGGGGCGGGCTTTTTGGAGAGAGAAATTGTAGACAGAGAAAGTGAGAGAGGAAAATGAAGAAAATAAATTTATTTATTATGCCACAACAGCGATCTACGTGCTCTAAGATTATTGGGTGCGTGACTCTCATATTGTGTTTCGTTTGTGCTTCTTTGACTCCACCTTTCTGCTTTTCCTGTACGTACTGCTTAGGATGGGCTTGTGCATTGGGCTAAATAAGTAAATTCATTAAGAGCAAGAAAAAATGTGAAAAAATAAAAAATTTAACTTAAAATAAATTCGTATATTAAATATATATATTAAATTTAAATTAAATTTTAAATAAAAAATAAAAAAATAAATTGAATCAAATTATATTGTTTTAGTTTATATATTTAAATTTTTATAAAATAAAAATAATTATTTTATATTTAAATTTATTTAAATATATTTAAAATTATATTAAAATAGTATATAAAAACAAAAAAAGTTAAAAAATTTGATTGAGATTAAATTGAATCGTATGAAAATTTAATTTAAATTTGAATCAAATTTTAAAAATTTATAATTTTATCTATTATATAAAAAATTCAAAACTGAATTTAATATGATTTCAACAATTATCACCTTTAAAACTATTTTCAAATTTAGTAAGCGATTTCCCATTCAATCATAATAAAATCTATTTAGTATTAACATGTAATGAATGACCTGCTTACAACATACAAAATTATTGCTATTTGCTTAAGTCCACGATCTTATGATTATGAGTAAATTAATGATAAGAAATACAATTAAACTTTTCTATTAATACAATAATTTTTAATTAAAATATTAAAAAAAGTTAAATATAAAAATAGCCTTTAATATATATATATATATATATATTTTTTTGTTAATTTGATTCCTAAAGAAATAAAATTATCATATTAATATTTGCACTTTCATTTCATTATCAAGTAAGTATGAAAAATTGACATGATATAAATATCTAATAAAATATTGACCTATACAAAAAAAAATTAAGTTAGCACAGTATCATCAATACTATGTCAGTATAAAAAGAAATATTTAAAAAATTCAAAAATTAAATAAAATTCAAAAAAATTAAAAAAAATTTTTTAAAACATTTAAAAAATTTTCAATATTTCTAAAAAAATTCTAAAAATTGAAAATAATTCTAAAAAATTTCAAAAAATATACAAAATACTAAACAATTCTAAAAAATTTTGAAAAAGTTTTAGAATTTATAAAAAATTTAAAAATATGATTTAAAAATTAAAAAATTACGATAATTTTAAAAATTTCAAAAATTCTAAAAAAAATTAATAAAAATCCAAAAATTTTAAAAATGAAAATAAAAAAATTAAAATTTTGTAAAATTTAAACAAATGGCAAAAACTTACAAAAATTGAAAATTAAAAAAATATATAAAATTATTTGAAAATGTTTCAAAATTTAAATAATATAAAATTTTTTCAATAAATCTGAAAATTTTTAAAAAGATTATAAAAATTTTTGAAAAATTAAATAATTTTAAAAAATATAAAACATTTTGAAATTTAAAATGAATTTTGGAAAAAAGATAAAAAAATTAATAAAAATAGAAAAAAATTCAAAAAAAAAATTAAAATTTAAAAAAATATAAAAATATAAAATTTTAAGTTTTAAAGAAACTAAAAAATTTCTAGTTATTTTTTTGTTTACAAAGTTTTATAAATTTCCATGTATTTTTAAAAATTATATATATATATTTAAATATTTTAAAGTTTATGTGAATTTTTTTTTAATTTTAAGAAATTTTTATATTTATTAAAATCTTCTTTTTTTGAAAATTTTAAATTTCTTTTAGATTTTTTTAAAACTTTGAAGGAATTTTTTTGAATTTTTTTAAAACTTTTAGAAACTTTTTTAGATTTTTTATAATTTCCTAAAATTTAGAATATTTATGATTTTTTAAAAATGTTCTAGAATTTATAAAAAAATTTTAGAGTTTTTTATAAATTTTTTAGAATTTTTTTAAGAATTTTTAGAATTTTTTATAACGCTAATGTGACATTAATGATTTGATGGTGACTAAACTTTTTGACATGTGTAAACATCTTATTGGATGTTCATATCATATCAATAAGTTGACTGACAGCGTTAGTTTCAAGTACTAA